AGCAAGCAGTTCTCTGCCCGGTGAGCATGGTCATGGTGGGTGTGGCCCAGTCGGCCTCCTGCACCATGGGGGGGGGGGGTTTTGCCCTCCCCGAGCGTCCGCGTGTGCCCTGCATTTACCTGCATGCAAAACGGGCTGCGTGGGGACTCCTGGGAGGGGTGGGCGAGGCCAGCCAGGAGTGAGTTCTCCGAACTGCACAGAATCTTAGCTAGAGGTTCTCCCGAACCCCTCCGGACCGCCAGCAGCCCACCCCTACTATAACTAATGAGCAATCGAGCCCAAATCTCTGTAAACTTAGTCAAACCAATGCATTAATGCAATTCAATTCATTTAAGGATCTTAAATTAATCCCTGAGAGTTTCCATTTACAAAATCCTGATTTGCACTTAGAAGTCGACATTGGATCATAAGCGTAAAATGCAAATTGTTAAAATATCTAGTAAATATAAAACAAGATGCTTGATGCCTTTTACCATCTTTCCTAAGGACTCAACCCTTATACATAAAAAAAAAAATGCAGAAAAAGAACCAGAATCTTGCCACTTTAAATTGCCTGTACAGGTAGTCCTCGATTTACAACCACAATTGAGCCCAAAATTTGTCATTAAGTGAGACATTTGCTAAGTGAGTTTTGTCCTATTTTACGGCCTTATTTGCCTTATTTGTTAAGTGAATCACTGCAGTTGTTGTTAGTAACACAGTTGTTAAGTGAATCTGGCTTCCCCATTGATTTTGTTTTGTCAAAAAGTTGCAAAAGGTGAACACACAGCTTTAGAACACAGCAATGGACATAAGTATGAACCAGTTGCCAAGCATCTGAATTTTGACCCCCATAATCACAGGGACACTACAATGGTCATAAGTGTGAAAAATGGTCATAAGTCACTTTTTTCAGGGCTATTGTAACTTTGAACGGAACAACTAAATGAATCATTGTAAGTTGAGGACTATCTAGATATAGATTTTTCATCTGAAAATAAGAATTCTTGAGTTATATTCTCAACTTTTTTGCTAATAAATACCATTCATCAAAACTAGAGGCGGCATTCAGCCAGTTCTGACAGGTTCTGGAGAATCTGTAGCGGAAATTTTGAGTAGTTTGGAGAACCGGCAAATAGGCTGGCCCCGCCCCCACTGCCTCCCAGCTGATCTTTTATTGCCCTGAACAGGAGAACAGAGCTGGAAAGCAGGTTAGTGGGGTGGGGAGGGAATGGGGATTTTGCAGTATCCTTCCCTTGCCATGCCCACAAAGCCACGCCATGCCCACAAAGCCACGCCCACAGAGCCGGTAGTAAAAAAAAATTTGAATCCCACCACTGATCAAAATTCTTGAGTTTCTTTGGCTCAATTCTTCGCAAGCCATGTTGTTACAAGAAAACTCCAACAATTAGCTGATTTCCTCAGGCATTGCAACAAATGTTGTGTACTATTTGGAAATCTGGTGTGGATATTGAAAAAGGAACTGCCTCTTAAATGCCACGGTTGCGTATCATGTGGCAACTTCCCTTTATTTGCTGCTACCCATAAAATTATGCCCCAAACTGATAAGCGAGGCCACTATCGATCTTCAAAAAAAGCAATCTTTTCTTCCAAAAATTGTTTTTCCCTACTGTGTGCGTTTTCACAGAAAGTACCTCTCTGGCTTGTTCTGCATTTAATATCTAATCTTGCTCCATCATCAATTTTCGAAAGCAATATCTCAAACCCACATGGAGCTTTTTCATTACAGAGCGTGAAAAGCTAAAAAACTGATTGCACCTAACATCAACACCTGGTTTCTCCCTTCAACTAGAAATCAGGTTGAAGTAAGTCAAGTCTTAGTTGAAGCTGGCAATAAAAATTGTTATCTGGAAAGCTATAGAGGACTGTCAACAGAGGTGGGTTTTTATGTTTTGTTACCACTGGTTCGCCGCACACGTGCACACTCACTTCACAGGCGCATATGCCCTTCAGTGCATGCGCCCGGCCTCAAAAACGTGTCTAAATGGAACAGCATAGAGACACCCACGATTTCCACTACTGATTTGGGCAAACCAGTCCGAACTGGCTGAATACCACCTCCGGCTGTCAATGTTCACATGTGACATATGTAGCTGAGGCTGCGAGTATTTACCGTATGTAGAAGAACCAACTGGGGCTGTCAACATTCATCACGTTCTGGATACTCTCCATAACATAATTTTCTTTTCTTTTTTAAGCATTATATAAAGTCATTGCAAATATTCACTCTACACTCAATGATGTCTTTGAAATCATTTAAATAGCAATAGCAGTTAGACTTATATACCGCTTCATAGGGCTTTCAGCCCTCTCTAAGCGGTTTACAGAGTCAGCATATTGCCCCCAACAATCCGGGTCCTCGTTTTACCCACCTCGGAAGGATGGAAGGCTGAGTCAACCCTGAGCCGGTGAGATTTGAACAGCCGAACTGCTGAACTGCAGTCAGCTGAAGTAGCCTGCAGTGCTTGCACTCTAACCACTGCGCCACCTCGGCTCCTCTTTAAACCATTTAAACCATCCAGGGCTCCTTTCTTTTCCAAACTCTGCATTTATTTAGAACATATTTTGGCAGGTAAATTTTAGTTCTCCATCTAACTCAATCGGTAGAGTGAATGGTTAAGCTGTCCTCAAATCTGGAAATCTGGAAGTTGCCCGATTCTACTTAAGGATCAATCTGTATGAAAGCAAAATAAAAAGTACTCTGCTATAATAGAGCTTAACATAGGTGTGGAGAATGGTAACAATTGTGGGAAGAGAGAGAGAGAGATTGAGAGAGAACCCAATAGAACAATTCAATCCAGTTGAAGCATTGTTTTTGATGACCACAGAATAATGTTTCCTACAATGGAATAGAAAACCAAGGAATATAG